ACCTCAGACATGGTAATTGTATTATAGTCAATGTAATACCCTGGCTGGGTCCCCACTTGTACTGCTCGAACTGAAATGTAAATGCTGAACTAGAACAACTGTCCGCTTAAACTGGAAAAATATATAAATAAACAAATACTAAGTGCTATGCTCAGATATACTCAAACAGATGCTATGATACTCGGTTCTAATAGCTAGCTTATTCGGACTAAATGGAACGCTCTAAGGGTTCGCTAAAAATCATATTAAGTCCAGTAACCATCGGTCGTGCCCAGCAGCGTCCGATGGTCAACCGTCGCGCTCAGCACGCGTGACCTCGAGCCCAGCAGCTCGGGCGGTATAGATGTTAACTCTGTAAGTATCCAGAGGTTAACTGGCTGTGTCCAGCGGCACGCCAGTGTACACAGTTGCCATCAGTCGTGCACAGTAGCACCCAATAGTCGTCAGTTGTGCCCAGTAGCACGTTAGTAGGCTTAGTCACCATAAGTTGTGCCGAGCAACACACGATGGTCATCAGCTGCATTTGTGCTAGCGCCAGTCGCGCCCAACAACGCCTGACTGCACCCAGCAGTGCCCAACACCGTGCCAGGGCACCAGCAGGCCCTGTGCCGGACCGAGCCTAGCCAGCTCGAGCCAATAGTCGACCGCCCATCCCACAGCAGGCCAGCGGTCCGGCCAGCTAGCGAACCGGCCAGTTTGACAGGTGGTTCGCGTATTTTTCAGTTTTTATGTTTCGATCTGAGTTTTATTCCACATAAATATTTTTCCGAGCCGAGCCAGTCCAGTCTAGCTATATTAGTTAATTCTGAACTTAATATGATTTTTAGCGAACCCTTAGAGCGTCCCATTTAGTCCGGATAAGTTAGATGTTAGATCCGAGCATCATAGCATCTGTTTGAGTATATCTGATCATACCACTTAGTATTTGTTTATTTATATATTTTTCCAGTTTGAGCAGACAGTCGTTCCAGTTCAGCACTTACATTTCAGTTCGAGCAGTACAGGTGGGGACCCAGCCTGGGTATAGAATGATGCTTAGTGAAAGAAGTGAGAATAAATCTCAACCATCAAATCGGACAATCT